TATGACAGTTTCTAAAACAGAATTGATACAAACAATCAACAAATTTTCATTTTTTGAAATCAAACATTTAATTTTCATACCACATATAAAGAGGGCGGAATACGCGATTGAGAAGGGAGGAAAATTCACAGAGATTCAACAGAACACACAAGAATTCACAGCACCACCCACATCACATACACCAGAAAAAAGACGGAACCCTAAGATACACAATAGAGTATACATATAAGCTATCTAAAGAAAGAGAAGAAATGTCATACCTTTGTAGATTAGACTTGCAGTACAGAAGTATGGAGACAATAACCTTCTTTTGCTTAACAACATAGAAGCATAACAACATCATCTTCTTTATCTAAATCTATCCTTTTATAATTTAGGACATATGATTATGGAACTGGAACCTTTGAAGTTTAGAGCTTCTACCAGAGAATATCTTGATTATTCCTAGTCATATGTTGAAACCTCTTTATATAAAATCCATTTCCTCGTCATTAGAGTCCCCATTAGAATGTTCTCCATTAGAAGCTTCTTCCGACACATGAGGCTCTGAAAATTTTTATCACCAGATCTTTCAACATTAGACCTTAAGTCAGAAGAATTGAGTTTCAACACAGGTTCATCACCATGAGTCTATATCAAGGTTTTGAAGGTTATAGATCAACTTTTCAAGGTCTAGAATATTCAGGTCTTTGACATCTTGAATAGATGTAACCTTGAAGTTGTATCTTGCAGGGAAATTCCCCAAGATCTGTTACCAAGCAAACACCATTAATCTTCTAGTCAATATTGTCTACAAGAACGTCTCATAGCTTATCACAACTAATGATGTGAATGAACATCTTACTTTAAACAAATTAAAATTAAACCAAAGTTTATGGAACAAACAGATTTGCCCCACGGTTGCAGGAAAACATTAATAAATAATAAATTATCAGTCAAAATGGGTGTGAGGTTGAAGTTGTTGGTGCAAAGATAGAATAAATGATGAAATAGGAAATATTACTAATAAGAGAATGACGGCTACAAAACATGATTTTGTTACAATGATTGTCACCCTATTTATAAGCTAAAACTAGGGTTATTAGAATAAGATAAATACTAAAATACCCTCTAACAAACTTAGGGGCCAAGAAAATAGTACAACTAAATAAATATGAATTATTAATAATATTCTAATACCATCCCTTAATTCATATTCCATCAAAACTTGTGACACCAATTCCATCCCTTAATCTGAGAAATTGATCAGTTTTGATAGCTTTCGTCAGAACATCTGCCAACTGCTTCTGAGTGCTGCAGTGAACGACTTCTAACACTCCACTCTGAACTTGATGTCTCAGAAAATGATACTTGGTCTCAATATGCTTGCTTCTCCCATGCAGCACTGGGTTTCTGGCAAGGTTGATTGCAGACTTGTTGTCAATCATCAACTTCAGAGTTTGAATCAGTATCAGAGTCAGAGTCAACGTCAGGGTTTACTTCAACTTCAGAAATTCTTAACTCTGGCCTTTCTTCAGAGGTTCTAACATCAGAATCAGATTGAGACTTATCCCAATTCCAAACTTCTGATTCCTTCACAATCACATCTCTGCTGAATTCAATTTTATTGGTTTCTGGACAATAGAGCTTGTATGCACCTGTACTGTGGTACCCTATCAGAATCATCACTTTGCTTCTATCATCCAGCTTCTGTCTTCTGGCTTCTGGAACATGTTTATAGCAAACAGAACCAAATACCTTCAGATGACTAACACTTTGCTTGTCTCCAGTCCACTTCTGCATAGGAACTATTTCCTTCAACTTCTTCGTAGGACATCTGTTGAGTACATACGTTGCAGTGGCAACAGCTTCTCCCCAGAGCTTCTGAGGAAGCTTCTTCTCCTTTAGCATGCTTCTCACCATATCAAGCAAAGTACGGTTTCTTCTTTCAGCAAGACCATTGTGTTGAGGGGTATAAGGAGCAGTAACCTCATGCTCAATTCCATTCTCCTCACAGAACTTCTGGAACTCTTTGGAGTTATACTCACCTCCACCATCAGTTCTAAGAATCTTCAACTTCTGACCACTCTGATTCTCAGCCTTCATTCTGAACTTCTTGAATTCATCAAACACCTCGTGTTTGAACTTAATAAGGGATACCCATGTCATTCTTGTGAATTCATCAACAAATAACACAAAGTATTTATTCCCTCCAATTGATGCTACTGGAAATGGACCACACACATCAGAGTGTACAACTCCCAAGGCATGTTTTGCTCTTGGAGCAACTTCTGATGCAAATGGCAATCTTGGTTGTTTTCCTTCCATGCAAACTTTGCATGACTTTCCAGGCTTCTTAATTGCAGGAATTCCATGTACCAATTTCTTTGAATTCAGATGTTGTAAGCTTCTGAAATTCAAATGACCAAATCTTCTGTGCCACAGCTCACTCTCCTTCTCAGTACTTGTTGCACTAAGACACTCTGAGTCTGCAGTTCTGACATTCACCTTGAATGTTCTATTCCTTCCCTGTTCTGACTCCATAATCAACTTCTGATTACAGTCATACAGCTTCAGAAGATTGTCCTTCATGGTAACTGAGAAACCTTTCTCAATTAATTGCCCCACACTCATCAGATTGCTTCTGATGCCAGGTACATACCACACATTCTGAATCAATGCTATTTTCCCATTGTTCAGAGTCACTCTGACATTTCCCATACCTTCTGCATTAAGATATTTGTCATCAGCACATCTGATCTTTGTTCTCTTTTCAGAGTCAAAGTCAACCAGCCATTTCTTGTTTCCAGTAAGATGATTTGAACAGCCAGTGTCCATATACCACCAGTCTGTCAGATCCACATTATCAGATTCAGAGGCCATCAACAGCACAGATTCGTCATCAGAGCCTCTGGCTATATTTGCTTCTTCTGATTTCTTCTCCTTGTTTGACCAACAATCTCTAGCAAAATGGCCAAACTTCTTACAACAGTAACATTGTATTTTTCTTTTGTCATACTTCTCTTTTCCCCTCTGAGCATTCTTTTGTCTATCAGAGGTTGAGCTTTCTGACTTCTGACCACCATCAGATCTTCTCCTGGCTTCTGACTGCTTCTGATACCTCCTATCAGAAGTTGCTTTCAGAGCCTGCTGTTCTACTTCCTTTTCAGAGTTTCTCTCAGTCAGACGCAACTCTTGCGCTTCTAGACTGCTCTGCAGCTCTTCAATTCTCATTGTGCTCAGATCTTTGGAATGTTCTATTGCTACCACAATGTAATCAAATTGAGGAGTAAGGGATCTCAATACCTTCTCCATGATTGTTTCTTCAGAAAGAGTTTCTCCACACGCCTTCATCTCATTAGTGATCAGAATCACTCTGGAGATGTATTCAGAAACTTTCTCATTATTCTTCATGTTGAGATTCTCATATTGCTTTCTCAAGGACTGAAGCTTCACCTTCTTCACTGATGCGTCACCACCATAACATCTCACCAGAGTGTCCCATGCAGCCTTTGCTGTTGTAGAGTCTGCAATCTTCTCAAACACGTTTACATCCACACATTGATGAATGAAGAACAATGCTTTCTGATCCTTCTTCCTTACTTCCTTCTGCGCGTTTTTCTGTTCATCAGTTGCATCTGCTGCTACTGGAACATAACCATCAGTGACAAGATCCAGAACATCTTGAGCACCAAACAGTACACGCATTTGGATCATCCAACGATTCCAGTTTTTACCATCAAATACTGGAAGTTTGGTGTTCATGTTGCCGTTTCCGTTCATCTTCTACTTTGCACAATACACTCAGAGTTTTCTCACACAGTGTTTCCCAACCCACAGAATTAAAAAATTCTGATCAGATTTTGTTCAAGATTCAACAAGAATCTGAGAAACAAAATCAAACACACAAGACCTCACGTTCACTCGTGTTTCCCGTGTTTCCCAATGAATCTGAACCGGAGCTCTAGATACCAATTGTTGGTGCAAAGATAGAATAAATGATGAAATAGGAAATATTACTAATAAGAGAATGACGGCTACAAAACATGATTTTGTTACAATGATTGTCACCCTATTTATAAGCTAAAACTAGGGTTATTAGAATAAGATAAATACTAAAATACCCTCTAACAAACTTAGGGGCCAAGAAAATAGTACAACTAAATAAATATGAATTATTAATAATATTCTAATAGAAGTGAATTGGGTAACAAGGGTGACATTGATAATTTACCTTAGAAATTATTTAAATCTAAATCTTATTATTCTGTTAAGTTTTTGACAAACCAAAATACTAAATTATCGGTAATGTCTTACCAATTTCAAAGTAACATATATAAAAAAAATAGTATTATTTAAATTTAATTGGACCAAATTTCTATACCACCGATGTTGCAGAAAACCGTCATAACCATAAACAAATTTTTTTTATAAAGCTATTGATTTTTCATTTTTTACATGCAAAAATGTATTTTCTCAGTTTCAAAATAAAAATCTTTTTAAGATTGTTTCAGATAGATTAAGAAAAATAACGATTAAATAATTAAATATAACCATTTTATAAAATTGTCCATAACAAATATTTTGAAAATTGGATGAACAATATTTATTATTAAGTGTAAAATTAGTAAAAATTAATTATTGTTGTCTTGAAAACGTAAAAAGACTTTTATTTTAAAAGAGACTTTTTTTTTTTGGTTAAAAGACTCCTATTTAAGAATAGAGGGAATAATAATTTGAATTTGAAATATATAACTGAGACTAGTTAACCTGATTTAAAATTTTAAATGAGTAGTATAAATAAGCTGTTTAAATATTAAAAAGTGTAAAAAAAAATATTAATGGTATGAAAGTGGATGCTCTAAATTTACGGTTCCGTGTTTTCTTACTCACCATCTGGTACCCTAAATCAAAACCCACTCTCAATCCCATCAATCCCATTATTCTTCATTTCCTCTTAGTTCAATTCACCATAAACCCAATTTCAATTTCACCCAAAACCCTTATTCTCCTTCTCGACAATGAAGTTTCGTTACGCCATGGTTTGTTCCTCGAACCAGAACAGGAGCATGGAAGCACACTTCCTTTTCAAACGTCAAGGCTTCGATGTGTCTTCTTATGGAACAGGTACCCACGTTAAGCTCCCTGGTCCGTCCCTCAGAGAACCAAATGTCTATGAATTTGGAACCCCGTACAAACATATGCTTGACGAGCTTCGCAGAAAAGACCCTGAACTGTATCCTTTTGGTATTTACGTTTTTGTTTAGTTTTTTTCTCACCCTTTTGGTTTTTTAAGATGAAAATGAAGTTTTTGATTAGTGGGGGTTTTCAAATGAAAAAAGCTTCGATTTTTTGTTTGATTATTTAGTTTAGTTTTGGAAGAATTATAGGTTTTTCTTAAGCATGTATGAGATGAAGCAGAATCAGAATTGTGTCTTTTTCATAAGGATTGACGTGAGTAGGTTATGATCAGAGTAGTCAATAGCGGGGTGGAGCGGTGGCCGGCCGCAATGAAAAGAGCCTTAGAGGTGTAGAACACTATACCGGCCGCTATAGGGTGAATAGCAGGTAGCGGGGGCGGAACATTTCTCGGTCCCAGTCCGGAGTTTTCACTCCGAAAAACCGAAATTACCCTTAAAACATTTTAACTATAATTTTGGATTATCAAATTTGAGCTGAGAACCAACTCTAACCTTCCTTCAATGATGTTTCTGCACTTTATATGTTTATAATTATTACATTATTGTTTATGTAATTTGTCCAAAAAATGATCAAATAGTGGCCATCCTTCTACACGCCATTTCGATATCTCATTTTTGGGGTCGGCCGCTCCACGCCGCTTTACGGGATTGACTGCTCTAGTTAAGATTGAATCAACATTTTAGGTAAAAGATGGTATTTAATGTTTTTAATGATTGTTTGTTGTATGAATATATGAAAAAGAAAACGAAAAATTTCAGTTATTTTTAATGATTTTAGTAGAATGAAAGGCCTTTCTTAAGATTTTGATTGGGAGATGTTTGAAATACACATTAAAAAAATAGTTAATGTTAAGATTTTTGAAATTTTGAGTTGATGAAAATACTTTAAGAAACATAGGCGAAATTGGCTGATGCGGTTCCTAATCCGGTCAAAGACACGATTTTAAATTACACCACTATTTGGGTCTGATATGGTTGTGAAGACTACCACGTCAGCAATATTGCGGCCGCAATTATGGTTGTGGACTGCAATTTAAAACCATGATGGGAATTGAAATTGATGGGGTTAGGGATTAGGTTAGGATTGTAAAAGTGTGTTTTGCATGATGCGATTTTGATTTTTGTTTTGTATGATGAGATGAATGGAACCTTAACAAGAGTTAAGTTACAAGCGAAATGGAATCCTGCCAATGCTTAAGAGAAACGCGAGTGTGAAATTGGCACCCCAGAGATGGCAAGAAAATGCTGCTGATGGCATATTTGACGTGGTAATCACGTTCGAAGAAAAAGTATTCGATATGGTTGTTGAAGGTGATAATACTCTTGTCTGTTTTTTACTCTCTTTGATTGATCTAATTGCAAGATGTTTAAATTTGAGCAATGTTTTGGAAAAAAATTCACTTTGCCTGCAATCGCAAACCTTTTATTCGATTTCGCCATTTAATTTTACATTGTGCAGATCTCCATAATAGAGACCATGTTTTATTGAAAACGGTGTTGATAGTCAACTTGGAGGTTAAAGATAATCACGAAGAAGCCGCTATCGGAGCAAGGCTTACTTTAGATTTTTGTCACGAGGTTTGTATCACTATTTCCTCTATATTCATATATGAAGACAACTTATTTTTATAAGTTCTCTAGGATAGTTTATGAAAACAACTTATAGATTATACGAAAACAGAATAACTTTATTTTATCTTCTGTTGTTATAAAAGTAACTTATTTGTAAAAGCGCTTATATTATAAGTGCTTATGCTATAAGCCTGCAAAATAAGTTACATGATACATGTTCTATTTTGAAGATGACTTGTTTCTTATAATGTTTTCGTGATTCATTACTTATGGAGATTTATTTTTACGCGTAGCTTGAAGCTGTTGAGTCATGGGAGGAGTCGATTGATGATATTATTTCTGGTTTTGAGAAACGTCATCGGCGGAAGCTTTTGTATAACATCTCCTTCTACTGA